TTCTCTTAGCTAGGTGTAAATTTTGTTGCTCTTTCTTTTCTACTAAGGGTTCTAGTATTGCTTCTTAGTGTATTTTGCGATATTTTTCTCGTTTTGCTTCTCAATAATTTTGGTCGAGGGATCTACAGGGGCTTTTTGTCTTTTTAAAAAAAAATTTTTTTAAGTTTTTTCTAATATATATAAAACTTTTTTTGTATTTAAAATTTTTTTAATAAAAAATAATACTTTATTTATTTTTATCTTAATATTACTAATAAAAATTTTTTATTTTTATTTTTATTTTTTTATAATATTAAGATAATTTTTTTGGTCTTTTGACTTTTATTAATAATTTTTTTAATAATATGATTCAATAAATTACTATAAAAAAGCATACAATTGGCTACATATATAATTTTTTTATAATATTTATTTAAGAGGTTTGTTTAAAAATTTCTTAACAATTGCTATATTTAATATTTTTACTTAGATGTTTCCTTTAAACTCTTTAAACCTGTAACTTATATTAACATTACTAGGTCATACTTAGATGCTCAGATTATTTTCTTAACCTTAGAACTATTTTATTCTTTTTTTTTTTTGCTTTCGTTAAGGCCATTAGTTATTGGCAACTACTGCCTTTATTGTGAATTCAATTATAATTACATAACTTGTATAAGGTTATCCCTATACTATACTAGCAGATAGCATACTAAGCTCCTGTACATCTAATTAGATGCTATTTAACCTAACTTTGACCTTCCTGTCTATACATCTGTTAAGCTGTTACATATTTCAGAGTATGTTATCTGACTATAGGGCTCCAGGAGGCCCTTCTGCTAACTAATTACTCATATTTAATCTTTGCTAACAGGGCTCACCCTTATAAAGTTCACCTAAACCTAGTACTAACTTCACAGCATATCTCTAATACTTATAATTTACTTTGCTTCTGAATCAGACTTTTAATCCAGATAGCTCAGTAGAACTGTGACCTGTTTCTGGTACTCCAGGATCTGCTCTCTAAGGTCCTTTTCCTCCGGTTTGAGACTTCTGATAGCCTGGTTGGTGGTACCTCTTATCCGAGATTCTTGTCTGCTCGATTTCTTCTACATTGATATCCATTTTCTAGGTCTAGCCTTTATAGTAGTACTGTCGAAGATCTGTGTTCCTCTTTACTCAGGTCTTTTCAAGTAGGCTCCAGTTTTTCTAGTTTACAGATTTATACATTCACAAGAACTTATCTTGAGTTTGCACTACCTGATGCTGATTAGCATTTCTCTGTATAACTTCAACATTGTACAGATGACCTGCCAGTTATCTGATATGACTATATTACAGGTACTAATCCCAACTGATTAACAGATTGCCATTGTCGTAGTACTGGTTTCAAGGACTTATTTTGTGTTTACATTGCCTAATGCCAGTTTGCATTTTTTTGTGTAACTTTAGCATTGCACAGATGGCTGTATACACCGATATAACGTAGATGGTTTTCCAAATTTTCACTGTTGGTGGGTTTTGAACTCTCAACTTACCACTTGGAGAGTTGACAACTTATCCACTTCACTAAGTTATTATACCCATTATTTTATTCTTAAGTTAAACCTTTTAGAGCTTTTTGTATTTATTTTTATAACTAATCTGATGTTACTATAACAGAACCAACACTTGTGGTTAAAGTTATATTATTTAACTACTATGCTTTTGTAAAATTTACTTAAACTTTAGCATCTACTTTATAGCATAACTATAGTACTTTAATATACCTCTGTTTTTTTATCTGATTTCTAATTTAGATAGCCTATATAGGATTATAATTAGTCTATCAGTATATTAGATTGGCCAAATATTTTTTTTCTCTAATTCATTTTAGTAGCCTAATTGGTAGTATCTTTAAGACTCCAAATCTAGAAATTTTGCTCATCTAGATACTATAATCTTAGTATATATTTTCTCAGGCTAGCCTTTACAGTAAGGCTATCAAAAATCCAGCTATCTTTTTATTTAGTTTTTTTAAATAGACTTTTTGTTAATAATTTTAACAGATTTATACAACTACAAGAATTTATCTAGTGTTTACACTGCCTGATTATTAGTTTGCATTTTTCTGTATAATACTATACTTATACAGATGTCCTATAACCTGCCAGTTATATTAGTACAACTGCTATTACAGGTGTTTTAACCCAATTGTTAATAACAGTTGTTGTAATACAAATATTATATAAGTAATTATCTAAATTTTTGTTGTTGATAAGATTTGAATATCTAATCTACTACTTAGAAAATTAACAATCTGACTACTTTACTAGGTCATTACACTCTTTATTTTTATTTTATTTTTTAATATATTTTATTTTTATTTATTTTATTTTATTTTTTTTATAATAATATAAAGTAAAAAGTTATTTTTCTTAATTAGGTATATAATAAATACTTGTTTTATATTATTATTATTATATATATATATATATATTTTTTTTTTTATAATATTAAGTAGAAAAAATGATAATATATAAATATATCAATTAGATATAAATGTATAGTTAAAGTTATTCCTAAATTATATTATTGTTGTTATATATTAATGATATCTAGTATGATATTATCCTTTTATTTTCTGTTATTAGTTAAGTTAACTTTTGTTAATTATTAACTACAAAAAGAAATAAAAGGGAAACCTTTAAGGATAGTTTAATTAATAAAAACAAGTATATATATTGAAATTTTGAGACAAAATTTTTAAATAAAGATATCTATATTAGTATTAAATATAAATATAGTATTATTAAGGTTTGAAGATTGGAAGATAGATAAGTGAATATTGTTTTTTTTTTTAGTAGAAGCCAAGATTTCTTGTGCTAATTCCTATTTATGATGTTTAATATTATGAGTTTACCAGATAGAAGAGTTGAACTATTTAAGTAAGGAGTTAGATAAAGAGATGAGAAAATTGTTAATTAGTTTTTTTAGAATTAGTTGTAGTTGCATATGTTGGTTAAAAGTTATTGTTTCCTATATAAGTAAAAGAATTGTATTGTATATACTAAAGTTAAGATAAAGATTTTGTAGATAAAAATTTTGTGAATAAAGAATTTATAATATTGTATTTGAGAAAGTTTCTAGAAGGTTTAATAAATTTAGAGTATTGGTAATCTTATTGATAAGAATATCCTTGAGGTTGTAAAGATGAAGTGAACATAGAAGTAAGTGTTCAGTATTTTCATATTGATTGCAATATAAGCAGTTTGGAGTTAGATAAAAAAGAGGATAATAAATATTTAAAATTGGACATTGTTGGTGGATTATTAAAAAGTATTTTGTTTCTAATAGAATATAGTTTAGTATTAGAATTTTGAGAGTTGATAATTTCAGTTAATAGTAGAATATTTATAGTTAAAAGGTTTTATAATGATTTTAGTTGAAGAAGTTTGTTAAATGTTTGGATTAAGAGTAAGTTTTTATAGAATTTACATAGTTTATATGTAATTGGTATTTGATTCTAAATAAAAAAAGTTGGTAAGTAGAAGTGCTCAAGGTTAAGTTTAAGTTTGGTTTTGTTAGCACCCTGTTTGACAAGAGTGTCAACTATATTTAGAGGTCTGATCTGGTCAAAAAACTGGCAATTCAAATATTCATTTGATCAAACCTATTATATCCGAGTAACCGATGAAAAATTCGAATAAATATCTGATTTATTCAATGATATTCGATGATATTCGATATCTTTTTAGTTACTTCATATGTTCGACACTCTTTCGACTTATTACAGTATTAAAATTGCAAGCTACACATTAGATCACAGAGCTAATAACAATATTTTAATTTACATAAGATTAGTGTTAGTTAATTTCTTTTCGACTATAACACAATCTTTAGTTTATTCGCAAGTTTTAGATCTTTAGATCTCGAAAATTCTGTTTTCTAGTATACTAAAAACTTAAAGCAGTGCTTTTGTAAATCTCTATCCAGTAAGGTTAAGATCTATTTGGAGCTTCCTTGAATCTTTCGCTTGGCTACATGATAAGTATAAATCTAAATTTTCGTTAGATTATTGTACCTTACAAAAATTCTCTTATTTAGATATTAAATTTTTTTGGTTATTAAAGGCTTACACTAAAAAACTTATGCAAATAGAATACTAAGAAAATTGTCTTCTAGGCATTTTATTATGCTGCGCCATTTTTATTTTATTTTTTTTATATATATATTCTATTCTTTTTATTTAATAAAAGTTTGTTTTGTGAAATTTATATCTAATATAATTTTTTAAGCTAAATAATGATTCATTTCAAGCTATAAATTATAGAGAAAAAAAAAAAAAAAAAGAAGTGCTTCCAAAAAAAAAAAAAAAAAAAATCTCCAAAATTTCACTCAATCAAATCATAAATCATAAGCATTATTTAGTTCATTACAGTTTTGTTTTAAAAATAACATCTGTTCAAATAATTTTGGTTTTAGCATCATTCTTCTAACAGTCATTATATTGTTTGCATCGTTGAAAAGTTGCTCACTCGGAGTTGAGGTCGCGGGTATCGCAAGATACTGTCTTGCAAGCTCACTTAAGAAAGGAAGGGAAGTCTTTTAAGTATTCCACCAGTGAAAAGGATTATGATTGTAGGAAATTTCAGGTAAAGAAAGATAATGACTAATTTCATCAATTGGCTCATCAACAGTATTTTGCATAAAAAGTGATTTGATGAATGTTTTTTGATAGATTTGGCGTTCTCTCTGATTATTTTTAGCTGAAAGTTGTTCATTAAAATCTAAAGGTTGGTTTGTTAGAGTTAGTGAAGATTGAAGTGATTTAATATTATTATATTTTTCTTGAAGGGCAGCTTTCGCTTGAAGTTGTTGAGTTGATGTTGCAAATCTTAATTTTTTAAACCTCAGATCCAGAAGGTATGCAAGGAATAATTCTTCATCTGAAAAATCCTAATAGTGTAAAAGTGCATTATATAATGCATTCTTAATTTTGTGCTGCATATTAGTAATGTCAATAGGTGTATTGATTTTAATTTTTCTTCCTTTAGGACCACCTTCTTTCTCTTCCTGTGCATCAACAAATCCAACATTATTGTCGAATACTAGGTCAGGCATTTCAAAATTTATATTATTTGATTTATCTAAATGGTCTGTAGAGCAATCCAACTTATCCATCAATCCTAAAATAGAGAGGATCATATAGGAAAATGTAACATATTCGGAACCACCGAGTAATTCTGTAACTTCAAAGAAGGGACCCAAAATATTAACAATATCTCACATCAAATCCTACTCATTATCAGTTAATTGTATTTCTTTTAACCTTCTTGCGTCTTTTCTTGCTTCAGATGTACTTGAAATGCTTAATGTTGCTAAGACAATATTGATGGCATCTTTAATAAGTAGAAGTCGTTCCCAAGCGAGAAAAGATGAATTCCAACGAGTGGACATATCTATTTTTGCACGAAGGTACGTTGAAGTTTTAGTAATTATCTATAATAAAAGTATTTTAGTTATTGAATAGCTGATGATATAAAATATAGAAACTATGAAACATCTTTTCAGGGTTATCAATAGAATATTTCAAGCTACAATAAAACATATAAACCACTACAGTTTGAGAGTGGTTGAATATTTTATTATAATCTAAAATATTTCTATTAATAACCCTATATTAGCATAATGATTATTAATGAATTGGTTGTTGTTTAAGTGGCATGTATTTTAATTATTTTATTAAAAAATCAAACTTTACATCATTATCTGAGATCCTTAGTGTTTTTTGAGCATCTTCGAGTCGTTCATTTTACTTTGGTGCCATGAAAAAATTAATTAATCGCTTGGCATGTGCCACGAGTACTTCAATAGGCATCAAACCCTTTCCAACAACAAGCTGTAATGTATGGGCTGAACATGGGATTCTTACTATATTACTCATTTTATTAATTGCTGCTTTCATATTAGCCCTATTGTCGGTTGTAATTGAATATACCTTTCTGGTAAGACCCCAGTTTTCAATTACTTCTTCTAATTTTTTTTTGGATAACATTGGCAGTGTAAGGGTATCTGACATATGTAAGGGAAAGTAATACTTCATGGATTTTGAAATCAGAATCTAGCCATGAGCAGGTAACTCCAAGATACCTCTGTCTATTACGAGACATCCACAAATCGGTAGTTAGTGAACAATATATTATAGAATCCTTGAGCTTTTTTCGTATAATCTCGGAAGATTTATTATATAATGTATGAATTATTTGCTTTACTCGTTTTTCATCAGGTAAACTGAACCTTGGATCTAATTCCTTTATAAATTCACAGAAGTTAGGGCTTATTGCAAGACTAATTGGTTGTGTGTCCTGGATAATAAACTTAACAAGGGCTTTGGTTAGCTTATCATTCTTCGCTTTAGTATATGGATAAGAACTGGATCTTGCAAAAAGATTAATTTTGGTTTGAGCGGGCTAGATAAGAAAAAATTTATTATTAAATAGTTTTAACAAAAACCAATATAGTCAATTCTCTCTATACCAAACCCTTGAGGCTTATTAAAAAAATGAAAAAAGATTCAGGATCTCATTAGTATAGACGAACCTATTCTAAAGTCAATTAATTAATATATTATATTAATAGGATCACCTATACTAAAAGAGATTCATTTAAATTCTAAAGTTCAGTTTAGATGTTTATTTTATCTAGGTTTGGTTTAGAGAGTTAATTGTAATTGCTATGTAAAAAATTAATTTATACATCTTCACGTAATTTAGGTCTACCTTGCGTAATACCATGGGTGTTTGTTAAATAAGATATTAAATTTGAGGTTGATCTGCCTATTATCCTCAATCGTGTATTACAATTTTTTCCTGAATCATTTAATACAAGACAAACGCCGTATGTAACCTCAATTTTAATATCATCAGATTCTTCTTTAATTTCAATTACTTTTTCTGATTCAAAATATTTTCACACCCAGCTTCATTTTTTCGATCCACCTCTATGACCTAGTTTTTTTTTTTATGCACTAGTTTTTCAGGTAATTCATTATTTCTTTCTTCGCTTGTACATGTGTTTTCTAATATGGAGCTTTCAGATCGGTTAGCATACGATTCATCAAATGACTGAACTGACAAAGAGGATTGTAAATCAACATCTTCTATCATAGATATATTAAACAAGAGTCTTAAACTTCAGAAAATAGTAGAATGCAGGATCTAATGTATATATTTCAATAATTATTGCTTTAATTATACTAATTAAAACGATTTATAATTTGAGATAATGAAATAGCTCAAAGGATAGGTATTATTATCTTTATTACATAGAAGATTAATTTTTCGTTTGGATCTAATTGTGAGGCCTTTTATACTTCTTATACATCATTTTAATATTTGCTTTCTATCATTTTACAATTTTTATATACATCATTT